GAGCCCAAGATGACGTGTTTTTGCTGAAATTTTATTTTGACGTTTTGACTTGTAAATTAATTAGAACCCAATGTGTTTAGGGCCCAAGGCCATGTTTTAATGTTTTATTTTATTTTATTCAGTTTTTATTTTCTGTGTAGGCCAAAGTGGTTAAATCCTAACCCAGTCTGAATGTGAGTTATTTAAGGGAAACGTTAGGAAACCCTTCGGCAGTAAGATTTTGGAATTGAACAATTGTTTTTTGTTTTCTTTATCGAAATTCTGCACTCTTTCTTTTCATGTTCTTCTTCTTCTTTTATTCTATTTTATTTTGAATGATGTTTAACCTCGCGATGCTAGGCTAAACACCTTTAATCAATCTAAGGTTAAAGGTTCGTTAATTTATTTCAGAGGATAGGTTTTTAACTTTTTAAATATATTTTGTTTTTTCCCAATTTAGTTTGAATATCATGCGATTGTAAATATTCAAACTGAATAATGCGATTGCATTCTATAAGAAAAAATTGATCATTAGATTTAATGATCAGATTAATTTACCCGATGAACATAAGTTGAACAGATCAAAACTACTGTGATCGCATAGTTGAGATATTGTATTCAACCAAACGCTAGGCGATAGTCTAGAGAGGGTTTCCAATTGAATTTGAGGATTTTGAATTCGATTGGGGTTAATCACAAATTGATAATTATATTTTTTTATCCAATGACGAAATAAATTAATGAATCCTGATTCCTTAGGTTGATTGCTTTTTAATTTTGATTTTTAAATCCAATTTCAAATCTGTTTTTATTTAAATTTTAAATCAACAAAATTCCTCTTCCTTTTATATTTTATTTTACAAGAGCGTTTTTGATTTCTAGCAGGTTCTTTGGGAGACGATCCGAGTTGCCCTCTCACTACAAACCTGAAGCTCGGTAATTTGCGTGAGTTCGACACGCACGTCAAATTTGGCGCCGTCAATAGCGTTCTTTCTCTTTCCCTTTTCTTTCTCTAATTTTCCTGATTTCTTGATCTTCTTGTTTTTCTTCTTTAATTTTTCGTTTCTGTTTCTTTTTAAAAAAAATAAATAAACTATTTTTTCGTTTTCTGCAATTTTCTGTCTCTGTTTCTGTTCTGTTTTCGTTTTCATTTTTCATTTTTGTTTTCGTTTTCCAATTCCTTTTAATATTCGTTTTCTGTTTTAAAAAAAAAATTGATTGATCTAGTTCTGTTTTCTGTTTCCATTATTTCTTTGATTCATTTTCTGATTTATTTTCTGTTTAGGATTTCTGTCGGCATATTGCGTTTACATCTGTTTTGTTTTTCTGCATTTCATTTCTGTCTGCATAATTCTGTGTCATTTTTTCTGCATCAATTATGCATTTTGTGTGCGTTTAAATCAGTTTCGTTTTTATGCACCTCTGTTCTGCACATTTTTCTTGTTTCTCCGTTTGCGATCGTCTGTGTTTCTACATCTGTAATCTGCAACTTTGTTTCTGCATCGATATTTGCATCTACAACTGCATCCTGTCTTAGTTTTTATTTTTTCTGCATTACGGTTTATGTTTTTGGGCAATTTCGGGAAATCGATCAAACTTCTGTCTAAGAGATTGGCTTCAGGAGTTCTATTCCCAAAGAAATTTGACCTTTTGAGCATAAGTCACGCCCTAAAAGGTTGACCCTTATTTTTGCCAAATTCTGCCGTTTACTAACCCGTTTTAGTGTTTCTTTGTCGTTTCAGGATGTATTGGGTATTCCTGCACTTGTTCAACTTGCTCTGATCGATCTGAATTTTTGTGGCGTGAAGGAGGCGGTCATCCCGTTTACTATTTGTGGCATCGTCTTTCATGATGTAGGCCTAATTTTAGCCAAATTCATTCGTTTACTATTTTATTTTTTTTTAGAAAATTTTATTTGATTTTTGAGTCCATAGGGTCAATTAGACTTTAGGAGAGTTGGTCCCATAGCGTTCTGAGGTCATTTGATATTTTTCGTAGATTTATTTTTGTTTCTATTTGCTATTTTCGATAGTTTTTGCTTCCTATCGTATGTTCTATGAGTTTACTGTTGTATGCCTGCGCCTGTGATGCATGACTAGGAGTACCACCAGTGTTGATGATTTATATTCATATGACCCTGAGATAGAGAGAGATCATTGCATGCTGCTAGTAGAGTTCGTAGGTTGACTTACCGTAGTGTTGTTCTTGAGCATACCTTAGAGTCTGAATCTGTTGAGTCTGTTTGTTCGAGTCCTTCACATAGTGTATGTTCAGTTGTTAATTTGTTTAATTCTAAAGTTATGGATAATAGAACACTTAAGCAATTGGCTTCCCCTGATGATGTTAATAATGAACAGCCCTTATGTATTCGTTATCCTGACCTTGATGTGCTTTTTGAGCTCAAATCTGGACTGATTCATTTGCTGCCCAAATTTCATGGTCTTGCAATAGAAGACCCCATAAGCATCTTAAGAAGTTCCAAGTGGTATGCAATACCATGAGACCACAAGAAGTTAATGCGGAGCAAATCAAGCCGACATTCCTAAATGGAATGTAAAGTTACGGAGAGATAAGATATCATGACAAGTGATGCTCAACGGTATTTATAGCCTTATTTAAGAACTATTAAAAAATAAGATTGTTATTTTTACAACTCTGACCAAGACTAAGTTTATTTTGCTAGAACATTAAAGTAAAAGAAACTTAATTTATTTTTTGTATAAGATTCCATAAAATAGTTAACATAGCACTGTTACAACACAGTCTCTCATTATAATAGCAATAAGCAGTATTAGAGTACGCAAGTATCACCCTGATCCTTCTCAAGAATCTAAAAGTACACGAGACAGAAAAATATAATCACCTATGCAAAAATTTGTAGCAGCAACATCAAGTGCTATCTTTATTTTATCACTATAACCAGATCTGCTAATGGCCTCCTTTACAAGATCCAGGGCTTCTCTAAAGCTTATGATACTTAAATAAAGTCAGCTAAAATGTAGAAAAAATCAAAACACCTCTAAAGTGATCATTTTAGATAGGTGAAATACAAAGCATTACAACATTGCCTATGCATGAATTTCATAAAAACTACATGATTTTATATAAAAATTATAATACTTTGAAATTAAAAACTATAGTTGCTTAAAATTTTAGATAATGTGTTTTGAATAATATAAATAATAAGTGAGTGCAAAAAAATAAGGGAAGGATATACTTACCACCAAAAAAGTTTACAACCATTACAACTAACCTAATCACCGTTGATTTTCGTCAATCAAACGGTTATAATTTATTGAAAATTATTGGGTCGCATTTATTAATTAATTATTAATTTTCATAAATTATAACTATTAGATTGACGGAAATCAACGGTGATTAGGTTGGTTGTAAAGGTTGTAAACTTTTTTGGTTGTAAGTATATCCTGCCCCAAAAAAAATACCATTTTATTAATCAAAAAGAACAGATGCATGTAGAGGTTAGGTCAAACTAACAACATTCATTGCGTAGAACAAAACATTGTAATTATAATATCCAGTGGTTCGGTATGTTGACTTAGAGATAAACTTAAACATAAAGCAAGTTTATCTTTGAGTCAAAACTCTAAACCCTAAACCTTAAAACAACATATGCATGTAGAGATTAGGCTGAATAACAACATTATTATATATGTAGAACAAAACATTGTAATTATAACATGCAGCAGTTCAGTATGTTGACTCAAACATAGATAGGTTTGATTCAGAGGAAAAATACAAATGAAATTTTTTATTTTACATGTTTATCATAAAAATTTAAGGGTCAGACATATTATATATCTGACAAATTAGACAGTGAAAGATAAAGGCCACCAAGAAATGCCAAAAATTTGAGATAAATAAGAATTGAAAAGTACCAACTAAGATTAGCATAATACAGTTACACAAGTGATTCAATCCTCAAATATGAAGAGGGAAGCACAAGAAAACAGAAAATTAAGGCTGTGTCATTACCTGGAACCAATTAGGATTCTCAGGACTCTGCTGGGCAGCAAGAACCTCAACAAAACCCTCATTTTTGTAGCCACCCATGTTGCTTGCATAAGCACGAGAAAGGTGCCGGTTCAGGGATGCAGAATTGAATTGCGTAAGAACATAGATCTTGGATACGTTGCTATTGAGGCAGTTGCTTACAGGAATATCAATTAGCCTATAGTTAGCTCCAAGAGGAACAATAGGTTTTGCCCACTTCTTGGTCAGTGGATAAAGACGAGTCCCAGCACCACCTCCAAGTATAATGCCAAGAACACTCTGAACATTACCATCATAACATCTTACATTACAGTCAAAACCAATCCACATCAAATTCAAATATAGGATAAAAAAAACGCCTAAATAAAAACAAAAGGTGCAAATTTTCTATTGTGATCTAAAAGTTCCTCACTTATCAATTTGATCTACTAGAGAAACAAAAAAAATTCTCTCCCTTTCATTCAAACTAGCATGAACTCCGTATATCAAGCGAATCAATTGACATCAAGCTCCAATCATGCACACCCTCTTTTTAGTACATTGAGACACAAATATTTGATTGAAAATTTAGCATCTTAGATCTTACATTAGTTTTCATTTCGCTCCACGCTGTAACAGTGGAAAGGAAAAAAAAAACAATGAAGAAAAGAGGCAAGCTCACTCTGCTAGCGTCTGGATTGTTATTTCACAGGCCCTATAACTGGTGCTCACACACACAAGATACATACACAAATCTCTGAATATACCTCTATTGTATTACTGATTCTACCAAGCCACTTTTCAAGAGTTACAATGAGCTATTTATAAACAATAGCAAATGATTAAAAATAATAATGACCAACTTAGGAAATCTAAACACAATAATTGTCCACTAACAAATACCTAGGGTCACACCTCTTTACCATAAACCTTTCATTTTCTATTTTCTTTTTTATTTAATTTAAAACTTATCCAACATGGATCAATACAAGTCTGGGAGTTCTGGGAATCAGAAACGGCCATCGGAGTAACAATCACCGGTTTGCGGGTGCAGCTTCTTCTTCCTGCAGCTGCAGAAACTGAAACTGTGGCAATCTTGTCACCAGAGAGCTGTGATGCCGAGAATGAGAGGTTGCGTGGGATGGCTTTCCTTCCCACATTCGACGAAGATGGCACTTTCAAAACACCAATAGCATTCATAGACGCCATTGCTCCCCCTCTCTCTCTGTGTGCTCTCTCGCTTAACATAAAAAAATAAGAGTGTGTGGTTCAGAAATAGAGTGTGCCACCTTTATTATGTGATGGAGTAGATCATCTTCTGTACATCTGTAGTATGTACATATGCTATTTAACAAATGACATTTGGATAAGAAAAATATTTTTCTCTTCTTTCCATACAAACATGACATTCATTCTTTATTTTTTATTAGATAGATGCACTGAGTGAATGATACAGCAGTAGTACCATAGATATTTCCGTGATGGAGATGGTAGAGACCATAGAGTCGTAGATATTATTATTTGATTTATGATTTAAAACTTTGTCGTTTATAATTTTTAAAAAAAAATGACAAAGAATATTCTTTTTATTAGTAAGGTAACGACAAAGAACATTTTTTTTTTGGTAGATACGACAAAGAACATTTTGATATGCAAGTTGAATGAATTATAGGTGGGAAGGGTGAACGGGTTTTGGTTTTTCCAAAACGATTTTGCAATTTGCACCGTTCTTTTTATACAAGGGACGGGAAGGCAAGGGAGGCAAATTTTTTGGTTGAATGACCACCGTTGAGAATGTCACTTGGCAAGACGCTTCCAAGTTCCAACATCATTCCCATGCGTTTTATGGTTTATTTATCTATCAAGTAAATGTAACGAATTATTTTCTTAATTTCACTTGCATCCAATTGTTCATAGTAGTATTTAAAAATCTAGCCTGGCCATTAACTCCGTGAAGGTTAGGGGTCACGGGTTCAACCGAGAGTCACCGAATTAGTTCGCTGATCTGATTTTATATGTTAAAGAAATAAATATATATTCTATATAAAAAATTTAAAAAAATTGAATCATCAATCATTAAAAATTTAAAATATACTCAACATAATTCAACCAATCACATTCACAAGTCAATATTCACAAGCTAATCAAAGTATAAAACTATCAAGTATAAAATATATTATCATCAAACTTAGGCTCTTCTTGTTCATTTCATGCGTATGTGAAAGAAGATTCCTTACCCAATAGAGAATAGCAAAGGAGAGGCAGCAACACAATAAATTAATGGAGGGAAGAGAAGAACCAGCACAATGGAGGAGCTCATTGGATCAGGGAGACTGGATCTGAGAGAGAAGATCGAAAGAGAAGAAAAAGAACGATTCAGGTTTCGGATCTAGTTCTAAATCTAGGCAGCAATGAGTTTTTGTTTGTTTTTTTTATATATCAAACAACGTCATTTCATGTATAAATTTCTTTTAAAAAAAATGCAGTGATCCCCTCTTACCCGGGAGTCATGGATTCAACCGTTTCACACATTAAAAAGATCACGTACAAGTAGAGTCTAATTACTAATCCAAACTCCGTGAGGGATTTTAAAATACTAGTTCATGGTTGCTACATGTGAATAAACTTAGAATTGAATACAAGACTTTCTTTTATTTGGAAATTGCTTTGAATTAATTAAAATTTTGTCCTTTATAATTTAAAAAAACAAAAACGACAAAGAACATTTTGATATGCAAGTGGAATGAACTATACGTGGGAAGGGTGAAGGGGTTTTGGTTTTTTCAAAACGATTTTGCCATTTGCACCGTTCTTTATATAGAAGGGAGGCAATTTTTTCTCGTTGAATGACCACCGTTGAGAATATTCCTTGGCAAGACGCTAACCGACATCATTCCCATGCATTTGTCTGGTTTATTTATCTATCAAGTAAAAGTAACGAAACTGTATTAAAAAAAAAAAGTAACGAATTATATTCTTAATTTCACTGCATCCAATTGTTCAGAGTTGTTACATGTAAATAAACTAAACAGTTAAAATTGAATACAAAACTTCTTTTTATTTTTACACTAATATTTTTTGATTTGTCCAAATATAAGAATGTGGGCAATGTTATATATATATATATATATTTTTTAGAAATTATTTGGGTTGAGTTTTTGTTAACCTAATTTAATAAAATGTTATAAAATAAAACATGGGTAGCTAACAGTTTAGTATGGAAATCCATTTAAAATAAGAGTAGCTTGCGCTTGAAAAAGCTGAGCTGGGATCTTTAAAATTAAACTTGTGTCTTAACATATAAGAGCTAAAATATATTAAGACTTTTGTAAGAAGTAAGTTAATAATAAATAAAACTTTCACATACCATCCACATAAGAATCCTGTTAAGAATAATGGGAGTAAACATATCACAACCAAAAATGAAATGGCAATTTGATTGGCGAGAAAATAAAATAAAGAATTCAATATTATAAAAAAAAAAAATAGAGTACTCAGAGACCAGAGTGCGTCTACATCAATGTCACCCTACTACCAACAACCAAAAAATAAAATCTCACTCTTATATCATGTAGTCTAATTTTAAAGGCATCCTACTTATCAAATTATAAATCCAACTAGGGGAGGGTGAACAAAATATAGGATAATTTATTAGCAGATAAAGCACCGAAACAAGTATAACAAAATAACGCAGCGGAAATGGAAAGCTCCACGAAGGTGAAAACCGTAAGATCAGAAACCCAACAATCAAACAAGCAATCATCACAAGCATTGTAACGGTTGGATCCTGCCAGCTCAAAGGATATTGTAGTTTCTCTCCAATAGTAGCAAAGTCCCCCATCAGTGCTGCATATTTCCCTGCGACAATTCTTAATCGATCATATCTATTCCTCCTTATAACGTTGTCTCCGAATCTTGTTGGAATTGGATCAAACTCTTCTTCCAGTTCATCTACACTTGCTGTGTGAACATTAGACAATTCCAAATTTACATGAGCCAGTTTTTTTGGCCTATTTGCATATTTCCAGCCCCAATAAATACACAAGATAAAATGCCAAAAGAGATGCTGTGGTAGAGGGGAACAAATATCCAGAACCACTGGAACCACTATAACCACTACAATTACCATAACTGTTACATTAGGATTCTCCCACTTGCATATCTCATCAAATCTAGTGTATAAGGCTACCAACCCACTCACCAAAATGTTAATCCTTTCAAAATCAGCTCTAGCTCTTCGCATGCTCCACATGATTTCGCGAGAATCCAGCACATACTCAACAACCTCTCTTCTCATCGGCGGTTCACTCTTACTCAACTTCGATGAGACAAACATAACAGATTGTTTCCTTAACCCATGTAATTGAGTCGGAGACAATGGTTTAGCATAATGTTGTTTAGGAAGCTTGGTCAATGCGTACATGAAATAGAGATTAAGCTTACTTAGGCAACAAAACTTGAAAGCCAGTTGAATTTGTCCCATCTTTATCAGCCCGCAAGGTTGAAGTTCAAAAAGTGGATAAGAATAAGAATAAATTTTATTGGTTTCCATGTCAGATAGACGGATTCTCACCTTCCCTATTCCTGTATCTTTTGCTCCTGAAGCTATATCTCCCTCGTACAGTAGACCGTTATCAAACACAGAAATTGTGATGAATGTGCATGGATCGTAGACATCAAAAGCGCACTGCTCATTCCAGTTCGGAGAAAGACTATTGACAACTGTTCTTGTCCGAATCCATTTTGGGCCATATTTAGCCACACAATATGCATCAGTACGACCCCTTGCTTTTATGGCTGGAAGCCCTCTAGCATTCAGTATCCCCATCTCAAAAACCCCAATGGGGGGTTTCCTCAATTTCTTGTCTGGTGGATTTAGATCAGTGCTGTAGTGTGGGTCATCATCAAATATATGATAACCACCATCCAAATAGAACATCATACTAATCTTACCAGCAAACCCCCCATTCTGTTCGACAACAATAGTTCGAACAGATATAGGTGAAACCTTGTCTGCATTCTCGACAAGAAATACACACGTCCCCAAACTTTTGTGACTTGTTAATGTTCCTTTTTCCACGCTAAAAAACAACCGTTGATTATCAAATGGCTCTGCCACGGCAATTAACAATTGCTCATTCCATTTTGGGTTTCCATTATTGTTCTCCACCAACTTGCTTGTGAAGGTCAAATTCCCCAAGGTAGCCCGAATGAAAATTGAGGATTTTTCAGATTCATCTTCAAGTAGGAGGCCATGTGCTTGAATCAAATTAACTCTGAGACACCAAATCTTAGGCATAATATACATCCGTGAACGAGTATTATCAATATTGTAAACACCAATTGATGCTGCATCAGTCTGTAAATGCCAAGCTCCATAAAATCCCTCATCAGCCTGAGTTCCTTTCCAACAAGATAGCATAAGCTCTCCCCTGAACTGTTTCCCCCTTAGATCCTCTATCTCATACCACTGCGATTGTAGTGCACAATCACTCGGAGGCCGTATTGGAATATCAGAAATATCAAACGAAATCCGACCTATGTATTCATCATAGGTAGGAATATTGTTCTTCACGAAAATCTCAAGAATTGTCTCGTGAATTTGAGTTTGACCTATCTCAAGGGCAAAGACATGGTTCCACACTGGGTCTATGCTGCTCCTGATGCAGGGGGTTGTACCCTGAAACCTCCCAACTCTCACCTCCACATAAGGGTCACAATGATTGGGGCCATTACGCACAAACAAATATCTGGCCCTAACAATCCTGACATAAAAGAAGCTATTGATTTCAATAAGGTCAGTGGCTCCTGTGATCATATTGGCACCAATACTCGGAGAAATATCCTTCAATTTGGAATCCACTTTCTGATGTGCCATGGTTTCTAACCGCTACAACAACAACAATAGGAGGACAATTTTAAATTAAACTTGTGTCTACCCCAAATTTGTAGACCTTAACAAAAAAATTATATAAATAAATGAATATATAGAAGGCATGAAACAGTAAAGAAATCATCATCTTTTACATGTAGAAGACATGAAATAGAAAATAAAAAAAATTATAAAAAACAGGAGATAAAGATGGGAAACCGTTTTTGGCACTATAAGACTCTCGTTGATTTCTGTTTTACAAAACAGTTTTTTAGTTTTCAGAACTAAAAGACTCGTTTGGTAAGACCTGTTTTGTAAAAAATGTTTTGAAAACTATAACTGTTTTTTTGTTTTAAAAATCGAATTTAGAGAACATGTCTGAGTTGTTTTCTTTTTCTGTTTTGGTTTTTAACTTTCAAAAAGAAAAAAATATAGAAAACAACTATTTCCATAACTATTTTACAAAACAGTTTTAAGAACAAAAAAAACTAGAACAGAATGAAACAGACCCTAACTTTTGCTTCTTTGTCTTTTCAAACCGTCTCTATTTCGTTCACGTTCCTACCACTCCGATATCACTCTTCCAACACTCGCTTTATCTGTCTGTCTCATATGTTTTCCCCCCTACCCTCATGCTTGATTTGGGTATTTATAATAAATTCGAATGATTCAATCCCCATAGCTTCCCTTTTTCCCCTCTAATCCTATTGATAATCAGAGAAAAATCAGGGAAAGCAAATCAAATTTCTCAATCAAATCAAATGGGGATATTTATGATTGATTTTGTTTCTTTTACCATAATGAAATCCAAATCAGTTTTTCCCGTTTTCGTGCACTTGTATAATTGACCTATGAACGAGAGAGAGAGTAAGATATGTTGATTATTATTATTTTTCTATTTTTTATAAAAATAAAATGATAAAAATGATTGTTCGCTATCTCTTTCACGTACATATTATGATATTATGCGATTTTTCATAAAAATGATTGTGTCAATGAACTTTGTACTTTATTTTTATTAACATGATTTTGTAATTTTTGTCAATTTATATCGCATTAGATAAGGGTGATTTTTTTTTATTTTATCGTAATATCATATTTCACAATTCCTTTATTTATTTCAAATGAAATCTAATATTGGTATAAACGAAAATCTATATTTTTTCTTTTATATCATATCAAATTAATTTAAATTTTAGATTTTTTATTTCTTATTTATATCTTTTATATCGTAATCTTTTATTTAATCTCAACAATTTCTCTTACCGTGTTAAGCTGTCATTGTTTGATAAATTTGTTAGACATTTTTTTTAAACAATATCTGATTTCAGTTAAAAACTAATTTTTAAAAGTAATCTTTCGTTATTTATTACAGATATATGCAAAAACATTTATCAGCATCTTTCTTTAGGCACTAAAATATTTTTCATATGTAAAAGTGATATTTCTTTATTTATTATAGAAATATGCAAAACAATTTATCAGTATCCTTGAATATTTATCAGTATCTTTATTTATTACATACGCATAAACAATAAGTTGTAGGGGCAGAATGATTTTACTCAATTTTAGTTTTTGATTGCAGTTATATTTAAAGACTCATGTAAAATAGATCGACGATTGAAATCGAATATATATTTATTATTTTTACCCTTATATTATATATTTAATAAAATTTATTTTTTTTTAATTTTTTATTAATGGTTAAATTTTTTTTTCTATATAAAGTATTTTGCTCATTTTATAGAAGTGATATACAAATGTTGATGATACTAAAGTCTATCATTTTATTGAAAAGTTGTATCAAAAGCTAGTAGGGTTGGTACTTCAATGCTATTATCTATATATATATCTTACTATATATAGAAAGGAGAACCAAATTTTGATAAGTTTGCTGACGTGTCGCGTTCTCCTTCATTCTCAGCTTTCTGTTCACACTGGAGGATAGTTTGAAAACTTACTTCTTTTGAAAATAATTTTTTATCGTAAATAAAAAATTCAAAAGAAATTAAATAATCTCTATAATTATTACTTATTGGTGGCAGACAGCTGTATTAATGAGCTTCTCAATTCTCGATTCAAAATTTAAACTTTAAACTTGAAATGGGTGGGAAAAGTTAAAATAATTAAAAAATGTTTTCAAATTTTCTATGTATTCATTGCATGAATAAAAACGATATTTGGTGTTGCAAATAGCCTTTTGGTCTGCATCACTGCCAGGAGCATTTTGTATCTTCTTCGGTCCGTTTCTCTCCTCCTCTTCTGATTTTATCGTTCAACATAATGTGCTCGAATACGACTTCGTAAATGATCTTAATCCGACGAAAGAAGAATGGAGGATTAAAGTGCGTGTAGTTAGGTGTTGGAAGGTTCCCAGTTTTAATCCAAAAGATTTTGATGACAATGTGGATATGGTTTTGGTAGACGAACGGGTAATGTATTTTTATCTTTTCGGTAACTCATTGTCGTTTTTTTATGATATATTGCGTGTTTTCATTTTATAGGGTGGAAGGATCCATGCTACCGCCAAGGGATCTTTGCAGGTTCGGAAGAAAATTCGTGAGGGGGATGCTTATTTTATAAAAAAATTTGGAGTTGGGTTGAATACTGGTAATTTCAGGCCAACACGACATGAATATCGTCTATCTTTCAACTTGAGGACGGATGTGAAATCCATTGTTGATGCTACGATTCCTGCGCGTGGTTTTGATTTTGCTGAGTTTGACGTTATTGAGAAAGAATCGTTTGACTCCCCTTATTTAATAGGTGATGGTCTTGGTGTATATAGGACGTAAGGCTGAAATCAATGTTATTTGTTGTGTAGACGTCATTGGTTTGCTGTCTGGAATTGGGGAAGCACGTGAACATGTCATCTCTGGTAGAAATACAAAATGGTTGTCGTGGAGCTTGACAACCTGAGGTATTTATGTTATCTATATTTCTGATAGTTTTTTTGTAATTTCTTGCGTGTTTTCAATTCAAAGAGTGTGGGATTTTACATCATTTCTTATATGTCTTTTGTTTCTCTGACATGATAGGGGTCAGAAACTTGAATGCACTTTGTGGGAGTCGTACGTAGATGAGGTCCAGACTTTCTTAGCAAAGAATCTGAGTACTCATAATGTTATAATACTTCAGCTTGCAAATAAAGGGTTTTAGGGGTATTTTTTTTTTTTTGGTATTGCGTTTCTCATTTTTTTTTGCTGTTTTACTTTTTCTTTTATTTATGTTGCATTTTTTTTTTGCAGGAAAGATTGGAATAGCTAATACAAAGTATACGACGAAAATCCTTTTTGATTTCAATATACCTGAGATCGTAGAGTTCAAAAAAATGTGAGCTACAGTGAGAAATCATGAGGCATTGTTTTTGCTGTATGCACTCATTCTTTGAAGGATAATGTTTTTGCTTGCACCCGTCTGTGAAGTATGGTGATGTTGTTGAAGATAAAAATAATTGTTCAGTTGTCCGTCCTCTTAAAAAAATAAAGCTGGAGAAAGATTTAAGTTCTGACTATAGATATTATAAAGTTTACGTGATTTATAATTTCATCCCTCTCACTCTGTGTGCCTTTTTGTTTATTTTGGCACAGTTTTGATGCTGCAGCCGGTGACACTTTGGAGCAGAAAGAAAATCTGTAACTATGCTTTGGTCGATTTTTTGTAACGAGGAGCTATTGACATTTTCCTTATTCTGTTGCCTATTATCATGTGTTGAACTTTGACAGTGTACCAAGGCCTTAATATTTATTTTTAAATATTTTGATATCAACTTCGCTTCTTCATTGTTTGCAAAAAAAAAAATTCTTTTAATATTTTGTTATCAGCTTTAGTACGACGTGTGAATTTCTTTAGTACAACGTGTTTCAGTTTTAGGGATGTCATTTGAAATTCCCCATTATACCAATTGTTAACAGTTAATTTCATTATTAGTAATTGCTTGACGTTTCGTTTGAAGTTATTTTTAATGCTCCCCTGAATTTCGAATTAGTGTGTTGGACTTTTAAATTTTTAAACAAATTAATAAATGCCAATAAAAGTGGTAGATTGGTCGATTTTTTGTAACGTGGAGCTATTGACATTTTCCTTATTCTGTGGCCTATTATCATGTTTTGAACTTTGACAGTGTACCAAGGCCTTAATATTTGTTTTTTAATATTTTGATATCAACTTCGCTTCTTCATTTTTACCAAAGTTTGCAAAAAAAAAACTTAAAAGTAATTGAATAAAAAATTAATTTATAATATTTAAAATATTTAATAATTCCAATGTAAAAACAGCTTAAACATTAAAACAGGTGAGTGTCAACTGACTCATTAGATGAGATGACCAATGTGAAGGTAAGTGGTGCATTAAATGTTTTGTCTACCACCTCATTTGTCTTAAATTATTAGAAATTTTAAATCAGCTGACTCATTAAATGAGATGACCAATTTCAATGTGAAAGTATGCGGCGCATTAAATGATTTGTCTGCCACCACATTTGTTTTAAATTATTAGAAATTAAAATTGATTTCTGATTTTTAAAAGATAAATTGAAAAAATTAATTGAATAAAAAATTAATTTTCCATTTTTCTGTATTTTAAAATATTTAAAATATTTAATAATTCCAATGTAAAAACAGCTGAGTCATTAAAACAGGTGAGTCATTCCATTTCAAAATTCAAAATTTTACACCACAACTTAATTGAATAAAAAATTAATTTTCCGTTTTTTTTCGTATTTTAAAATATTTAAAATATTTAATAATTCCAATGGAAAAACAGCTGAATCATTAAAACAGGAGAGTGATTCCATTTCAAAATTCAATATTTTAAATCAGCTGACTCATTAGATGAGATGACCAATTCCAATGTGAAGGTCAGTGGCGCATTAAATGTTTTGTCTGCCACCTCATTTGTTTTAAATTATTAGAAATTTTAAATCAGCTGACTCATTAAATGAGATGACCAATTCCAATGTGAAGGTATGCGGCACATTAAATGATTTGTCTGCCACCACATTTGTTTTAAATTATTAGAAATTAAAATTGATTTTCGATTTTTAAAAGAAAAATCGAAAAAATTAACTGAATAAAAAATTAATTTTCCGTTTTTTTTTCGTATTTTAAAATAATTAAAATATTTAATAATTCCAATGTAAAAATAGCTGAGTCATTAAAATAGGTGAGTGATTATATTTCAAAATTCAAAATTTTAAATCAGCTGACTCATTAAATGAGATGACCAATTCCAATGTGAAGGTAAGTGGCGCATTAAATGCTTTGTCTGCCACCACATTTTTAAATTATTAGATATTAAAAATGAATTTTGATTTTTAAAAGAAAAATCAAAAAAATTAATTGAATAAAAAATTAATTTTCCGTTTTTTTCGTATTTTAAAATATCTAAAAAATTTAATAATTCCAATATAAAAACAGCTGAGTCATTCCATTTCAAAATTCAAAATTTTACACCACAACTTAATTGAATAAAAAATTAATTTTCCATTTTTTTCGTATTTTAAAATATTTAATAATTTCAATGTAAAAATAGCTGAATCATTAAAACAGGTGAGTGATTCCATTTCAAAATTCAAAATTTTAAATCAGCTGACTCATTAGATGAGATGACCAATTCCAATGTGAAGGTAAGTGGCGCATTAAACGTTTCGTTTGAAGTTATTTTTAATGCTCCCCTGAATTTCGAATTAGTGTGTTGGACTTTTAAATTTTTAAACAAATTAATAAATGCCAATAAAAGCGGTAGATTGGTCAATTTTTTGTAACGAGGAGCTATTGACATTTTCCTTATTCTGTGGCCTATTATCAAGTGTTGAACTTTGACAGTGTACCAAGGCCTTAATTGTTTTTTAATATTTTGATATCAACTTCGCTTCTTCATTTGCAAACCCTTTTGTTTATTTCCTTTGCATCCCATAATGAGTAGTAATCTATCAGCAATGAAAACTACTTCGCGAAAGAGACGACACAATCATGAAAGGTTTGCACTGAAAGGTACGGCAGAAACAATATGCTTCGTTTTCTTTGTTGTAGTATATTACCATCTGATTTTTGTTTTCGTTATTGTGGAGAAAATGTTCCTACATTTTCTGCTTCTCCTTTTCCCAGGCAAGTTCTCTTTATCATTTTTTCTTGTGCAGCAAAATTATCAGTAAGAATAGCATGTGTGTTATTATTATTTAACGTTTTAATTTTATTTTGTATACTATTTAGCATTTCTCAAGTAACCAATTTGGGAACGATTGCACATGCAGTAGACAGTGTATTCTTGATACTTCCGATGGTAATAAAAAAAATGTTCTTTTTTTATGTTTACATTATCTTTTATTTTCTTGGTTATTTAGCATCATAGTCGATCTTTTTTTTACCATGTTTGTTGCTTTTATTTTATGAACAGAGATTCCTTGGAGAAATACAAAAAAAACGAGTTGTTTCAATGAGTTGTTAAGTAATTCCTCCCCTACAGAGTGTATACCAAATTTTTCGTCAATTGGTATGACTAAGTTATTATTATGCATTATATTCCTATCTTAATTTTATTATTCATATTCCTCATATACTTTGTCTCCGTGGTCTAATTGTTATTATTCATATTGTCAAGAAGATATTTTTGTTGCTTCTCCCTCCAATTTTGGAACGTAAGTTGTCTCCCTCAAATGTTAATTTACCAAAAACCAAAGTGAATAATCTTTACTCCTTGCAGTTATTAGACATCATCATACCAATTTACTTTTTGTTGTTTTCAACAAGCAGTCTTTCTGAAATTACCAATATGCATAGTGGTGGTAGCAGTTGTAGACACCCTCTTCGTGATATTTCTAATGGTCAGCAAACTTCTTCTTCAACTGTGTTTATGAAATTTGTTCCGTGACTTCCTGATATAAAATGTCATTTTTTTATTACTGACATGAAAATTGAACTTATGGTCTCAATTTTGTCTAGGGAATCTCCTTCTTCGTGCTCGAACTCACCCGTTGATAGATAAGAATTTTTCATTTTTTTTTGTAAAGCTGCAAATTTGCAATTGCACATTACTGTAATTTAGTGTGACTGTCTGGACCGAGCAAGCTTAATGAAATAAACGACGTACGAACAAATTTAACTTTTCCCTCCCCAATTGCTGAAGTAGTTAATAATTCAAATCCACATCGAGGTAATCTTTAATGAAAAAATCCTTTTATTGTTTCGATATATCATGTTATAGAATAAGATGATAAAAATTTATTATGAATTATTATAATAATATTATAGTTCTTATCTTTTTTGTAGATAGCAAAAATGCTAGGATGAGACGCAAAGGAATCATTGCTCAGAGGAAGAATTCAAAGAAATTTACAAGCACACTCAATTCCATTAGTAGAATGGCTGATTTAACAGGTTAGTTTACCTGTGAGTTTAAACATTTAATACGTCATTACTACATGGATATGGATTTCAACGTTTGAGTTTTTTTCTAATGCAATGCTTAATAGGGTGTCCAATCTGTATTTTTTAATGTTTGAATAGAGATTAATGCTGAGGATGCAATCACCATCCGTTCAACTGTTACTGTGTTATCTAAAGAGAAATTCATGTCAGGGAATGATAACTGCCCAAGTAGTACTTCAACTTATGTCTGTCAACAAAGTAAGATCAACGTATACTACTTCGCTCAATGTTTTTTAATGATGTTTGACAAGAATATTTATTTTTTCTACCGTCCTATGTTATATTTTTAACCAAGCCGTGTTTGCTACAGACACCAATTCACCCGATCAGCCTGTGTTAGACATATCTTCTGTCAACGAAGGTCGTTGTATAAATTAATTTGATTATTATTTATTCTGAATTATAATTTTCTTTGTAATATGACTTTTTGCTCTTTGAATATATGTAGATTATTGGGACGTTGGGGATCCCACTTTCATCTGCACGCATTGTGGAGCAAGTATGTTGTATGAAGAGAGACTTAAAAAAGACAGAAAGTCATGCACGCCTGAGTTCGGTTTGTGCTGCGGCAATGGAAAAGTTAAACTTCTTTCTTTAAAAATGGCTCCGGATACATTGCTTCAACTACACAATAATGAAGATATAAGGAGCCGTCATTTTTTACGATATATTCAAACGTACAACATGATTTTTGCCTTCACCTCCTTCGGTGCAAAAGTTGATAGATCCGTAAATGAAGGTTCTGGACCTTACTGTTTTCGAGTTAGAGGACAGGTTCATCATTTAATGCGCAACCTTATTCCGCCTGATAACACGTCTCCAAAATTTGCTCAACTTTATATCTACAATACCGAGAATGAAATTGACAATAGATTGGATTTTCTAAGGCATTGCTCTTTGTTTATTTTCGCATTTTTGTGCATTGAAGTGTATTATCTGTGTTATTATAGTTAGTTTACTAACGATTACATGTTATTGAAAATGCAGTCCCACAAACAATGAAGACATCCTAGATCCCGGTATTGTGAGATCTTTGAAGGAAATGCTAGATGAGCACAACAGAATTGCGCAATCTTTTCGGTATGCTACAGACCGTTATAAGGAAGATGACTTCAATGGGGTGAAGTTGAGGCTTATTCGAAAGCGTGGTAGCGATGGAAGAGTTTATAATCTTCCCTCTGCATCTGAAGTTGCTTCTTTGATTGTAGGAGATATAGACAACGTCATGGGTGACAGAGATATCATTGTGGAGACACAAACCGGACTTTTGCAGCGCATTGATGTCAAGCATCCCCTATATCTTGGCTTACAATATCCTTTGTTATTTCTTTATGGAGAGGATGGTTATCGCGATGATGTCCAGCGTGCTTCCATTTCCAGTGGTAGGACAAACCCAAGATCAACGATTAGCATTTTCGTTTAGGCTTCAAATGAGATCAGGGGAGTCCCAAATTCTTCTTCACTCCAGAAAACTATTCCAGCAATTCCTGGTTGATGCTTATACTATGGTTGAGTATGACTGTCTTATTTTCATTCGCCATAATCAAAATCAACTAAGGGAAGAGTTGTACAAAAATATAATACATGCATCGGATAAAGGGGAGGATGCAGCTGTTAAAATTGGAAAGCGTATTATTCTTCCTTCTTCATTCATAGGCGGACCTAAATATATGGCTGAGAATTGTAAGGATGCTTTTGCAATCTGCCGTTGGGCTGGATATCCTCATCTTTTTATAACAATTACCTGCAATCCTAAGTGGCCAGAAATTACACGATTTCTTAGGGCCAGAAACTTAAACGCTGAAGATCGACCTGATATTCTTTGCAGAGTTTTCAAGTTCAAGTTAGACTATTTGCTCCATGATTTAAAAAAAGAACATGTTCTTGGCAGAGTTAATGCATGTAAGTATATGGGCAAAATCAATTTTTACAACTTTATTGGAACCCACAAATGCTCTATATGTATTATTGTCTTCTAATCCAGCCTTTGATCGTTTATTGAACTGTAACAGATGTTTGTACAATTGAATTTCAAAAATGTGGACTCCCTCATGCTCATATTCTGTTGTTCTTGCACCCTTCTAACAAGCCCAACAGTGGACCTTTATATTGCTTCAGTCGATTGGATATAACGTTGCTCTTTGGTACAGGTAAAATTTGCATTCCTTAAGTTATATTTTTTTCAAATGTTGATTAGCGTTGGATTTTGATTATTTTTATACTGTATTTTTGAAATATGATTCTGAAATACAAAAGCAAAAAACCACATTGAATAATACTTCTGACAATACCTGTTCAGTTCTTCTGTTCTTTATTCGCTAAATCATATGTTATGCTAACATATACTGTTTTTATTTCTTTTATAGTTAGCAGGCTGGTGTCAGAGATATTTTGCTGGAACACCGAATTGTATCATGTTATTTGTGAATTATTAATTGTGAGCAGTTTTGACATACGACATTTAAATTGTTTTTACGTTGACATTATTCTATTTATCACTTTTGCAATTGGACGTGAAGGTTACTCGATACAATTAAACGTTTCATCCTACAAAATTTTATTTTACTTTTTTATCTTTCTGAATGCTACAGCCTTTTCAAGTTAAAAATTATAACAATACAATTATTTTTTATTATGATATTATTATTAAGAGTTTCATATCAAGATCAACGTGTGGATTTACTAGTAAGACGACACACCAACGACGGCGACAACGATTTTGTTCTTTTTCCCCCGGGCATCGCACGGGTAATTCACTAGTATATATATATAAAGGAGAGTTCACTGCTGGAAAGTTTTGCCAAGTGTCACTCCGTAACTAACATTGATTTACAAATTAAAATAATTGTTTAAGTTCAACGAGTCATTACCAATACTTCGTCATTTGTTATATAAAAAAATATAATTTTGTCCCCATTTTTAAATTATTTCAAAAATATGACATTTTTTCTAAACATAACATCAATCTACCCATGTTTGACTGGTGACTGGCCTTCATACTCGAATATGTGACCTTCATACTCTAGCATATGGGTCATGTATTCGAATAAATGAGATCAAATTTTCTACAAGTTCGAAAAATTATGTGAAATAAAGAAAATGCACATGATTCGGACAACCGTGTATGACACTGATGTGGAATAAAAAAAACTCACATTATTTTTTCATATAATTAAGGGCATAATAGTCAAAAACCAGCATCAACTTATTGCAGACTACATCCAGCAGTCAATATGTACGACACCGTAAGCAATTGTATTTTTGGCTATTAAATTTTTTTTTAAACAATTTGGCTATTAATTTTAATTTGAAATAAGTACCGTATACTTATTTTCCTTTAACTATTATATATATATATATATATATATATATATATATATGTTTTTCTTTAACATAAACTCTGTTTTTAACATAAACTAAGTTTTGTTTGTAATGGATTAGATTTAAATCTCTTATGATTGGTTGTTTAAGAAATTTAAAAAGAATTGATTTGTCCGGATGATAAGTTATTATACTTTTATCTGTGATTATTAAAGGGAAGAGAGATTTGAACAAAAGTTTCGGCAGTTACTGTAAAAAAAAGTCCAAACTTTACTTGAAATAAATCCAATCTGTCATACATTTATTTCATCTTCCGATTGATAGTGTTCATTTATAAACACTCCAGGTTTTTCAAACTCATCAATCAATAATCACAAACAAAGTTATGACTTTGTACATATATTGGATGTGTCCAAGTGGCCATCAAACCTTTAATCGGAGAAGGCTTAAGGCTTATGTTCTCCTTTGTCTTAGAGACAATAGACATATAATATCATTCACCATGAAATATTATTAATTGCGTGTAATTAGGCAATTTATTTTGTATTCGTGTGTTAAATTAGGCAAAATATCTAATTAAGTAAATTAGAGTCAGTTTTGAGGTAAAAGTGCAGTCAACGTAAATTATGGGATAAAAACGTGTGTAGGCAAAAGTACTCAAAATATAAAAGTAAAAGCAAAAATATTCCCGACTTTTGGGTAAAGTTTGGTGGTGAATGGAGTTGAATAGATAGATAAGCTTTTACCCGCTTAAAGTGACTTACCTTATGTTAAGAGGCAAAACATGATTTTCTCTCTCCATTTCTTCTTCTTCTTCGACAAAAACTAAGGGTGAGAAGGAGAGAAACCCATTTGAAGACCCAAAATACTAACTTCTTTGATTCTCAACTAAATCAACTCATTCCAAAGCCAAAATTACTTCAAATCTTCTCCTCTTTCTTAATCCTAACTTGGTTTTGAGTGGGAGCCATTGTAAAGTGAGATATTGCTTGAGGAAGGGGGCAAAAATTTGACATTGGTGGAGCTTGGTGTGGAATCTTCCATTCTTGTGGTTTGGAACCCTCACCTTGGACCACTGTGGTTGGATTGTGGTAAGTTTTCCATTCATTTTGGTTAATTTGAATGAGGTGCATGTTTAGGGTTTTAATTTGAGAAATGCATGAATAATAAGGTATGTTAGAAAGAGATTGAAGTTAAATTACTTTGTAAAAGTTGTTAGGAATGATAAATAAAAGGTAGAAAATAGACTTAGATTGACATTTGGTTGTTGTTCAATATATTTAAAAATTCATGCTTCGGGTTTGTGAGTTTTCTAGCATTTTGAGCAAAATGTAAATTGGATGGTTGATTGTGTCCCTTGTGGTGATAGCATTGTTATAAAAACCGGATCGACCTGGCCGGGTCGACCCGGAAACCGGTGAACCGGTCATGTAACCGGTCCGGTTTTTATTTTGGACCTGCCAAGTTACAAAACCGGTGTGACCCGGTACAACCCGGCTTGTTTTTGTAAAAACTGGTGACCCGGTCGGTTCCACCGATGACCTGGTCTGGTCTATAAAAAAAAATTTAATTTCATCAATTGATATCTTCTTTTTACTTTCAAACACATATGGTTTATTTTCTTTTGAAATATTTGAGTGATTTGTAGCTTATTAAATTACATAAATTATGTACCTACAACATTAATATTATCTTGATTATGCATTATGCAGGGAATTTTGATTTGATTTATAGTTAGAGATGTCGTTTACTAAACCTGAAACACGAGTATCACAAATATTATATGTTTGACTGGTCTTTTGTTTGATAATGATGTATAATTTATTATTTTTATGATTAAATATTTGAAATTGGTATCATTTTTTTACAAGTATTTAAGTATATTTATAATTTTTTAAATATAAATTATAGATTTTATATACTTACCGGGTCATGCGGTTGAACCAGTGACCCACTGGTTGAACCAGTGACCCAATACCTCGACCGGATCAATAACCGGATCGGGTTTAATAACATTGGGTGATAGGATTAAACCTTGTAGACCAACATTATAGGATCAATGATAACACCTATTTTGTTACACTATTTTTGTGTTGATAAGATTAAACCTTGTGGACCAACATTGAAGGACCAATGATAACACCTATTTTGTTACACTTATCTATTACTCTTGGTTGATATTTTTAGGATTTATTTGAATTAAATAAATGTCTTTTGGCTGAAATCAGAATTCTAGATTTTAATTGGGTTTAGTTGATTTTCGCCAGATTTTTTCAAATTTACACTACTTTCGTATTTTTTCCATATCTTACTCTACAGATGTCCGATTGACTTCGTTCGTGTTACGTTTTGCAGCTAACAGGAAGGGTTACAATCTCTATTTCAACAACTACAGCCCAATTCAGACACGAAGATGATCGAAACCTGAGCCCAAGATGACGTGTTTTTGCTGAAATTTTATTTTGACGTTTTGACTTGTAAATTAATTAGAACCCAATGTGTTTAGGGCCCAAGGCCATGTTTTAATGTTTTATTTTATTTTATTCAGTTTTTATTTTCTGTGTAGGCCAAAGTGGTTAAATCCTAACCCAGTCTGAATGTGAGTTATTTAAGGGAAACGTTAGGAAACCCTTCGGCAGTAAGATTTTGGAATTGAACAATTGTTTTTTGTTTTCTTTATCGAAATTCTGCACTCTTTCTTTTCATGTTCTTCTTCTTCTTTTATTCTATTTTATTTTGAATGATGTTTAACCTCGCGATGCTAGGCTAAACACCTTTAATCAATCTAAGGTTAAAGGTTCGTTAATTTATTTCAGAGGATAGGTTTTTAACTTTTTAAATATATTTTGTTTTTTCCCAATTTAGTTTGAATATCATGCGATTGTAAATATTCAAACTGAATAATGCGATTGCATTCTATAAGAAAAAATTGATCATTAGATTTAATGATCAGATTAATTTACCCGATGAACATAAGTTGAACAGATCAAAACTACTGTGATCGCATAGTTGAGATATTGTATTCAACCAAACGCTAGGCGATAGTCTAGAGAGGGTTTCCAATTGAATTTGAGGATTTTGAATTCGATTGGGGTTAATCAC